TTTCCCAGGCTAGCCTGGAAGTCATTTTGTGTAACCCAGGCTTGCCTTTAATTTCTGCCTTTAATTTAATTCTCCTACCTCAGCCTCTCAGATTCTGGAATTAGAGGCAAAAGCCACCACACCTAGCTTCGAACTTTAAAAGAAAGGGGTCTCTGGATTGTATTTGCGTCCAGAACTTTTCTTCTAGACACTAGACCCCTCGGGGCTCTGTTGCTGCTGCTGCTGGACCAAAGGCAGAGTCAGGTGCATCATCCCAAGTCCCCACATTTTAACTCTCAGTGTCCTGTGCCCCAGCCCCTGTAGGGAGTACAGGAAAATTTTCCTTCCAGTCACTTCTGGCAGCATCCTGGGGCAGGCTCTGGAAACGCAGTTAACTTGGACAATGATGAGAAAAAGTCAGCCAGGCATGGTGGTGCACGCCTTTAATCCCAGCACTTGGGAAGCAGAGGCATATGGATCTCTGAGTTCAAGGCCAGCCTGGTCTACAGAGTGAGTTCCAGGATAGTCAGGGCTACACAGAGAAACCTTGTCTTGAAAGACAAAAACAAAAGCAAAATAAAAAAAAAGTTGTCAGGAGACGTTTCTTGTAGACCTTGTCACTGAGAGCAGAAATAACACAATGATCACAGGTCCAGAGAGAGACAAAGTTGGGGAAGCAGTACCTATAACCGAGGGCTCATCATTCCCTCCAGTGATGAGTCTGGTAGCCCAGGTCTGGCTGCCTGGAACAGAGCTGTGTTCAGACTTGAGGTGGAGCATGCTTGCAACCCCAATGCTGGGGAGGTGGAGGCAGTAGTACCTATAGCTCAAAGTCACCCTCAGCTACATAACAAATTAGAGGATAGCCTGCATTACATGAGTTATAACTCTGAAGGAAGGAAAGAGAGAAAGGAAGAGAGAGAGATACTTAAAAACAAATGGACAGACAGACAGAGGAACAGTCTGGAAAGGAAATGGGTAAACACCCAGAGATGAGCATCTTCCCAATATCCTGACCACAGTGCATCTCAGAAGGCTCGGTAGGAGTCCCAGTAGTGCCTGGCCCTGATGCGATGCTCCAGAAAGTTCTCCATCATGGCAGAGTCTCTTCTTAGCAATTCACCTGCAGTGTCTCCTTGATTTCTTCCCTATAATTAATGCCTCTGGATTCTTTGATTTGTTCTTAGACATTTTTTTGTTGTTTTTTCAGACAGGGTTTCTCTGTGTAGCCCTGGCTGTCCTGGAACTCACTCTGTAGACCAGGCTGGCCTTGAACTCACAGAGATCCACCTGCCTCTGCCTCCTGAGTTCTGGGACTAAAGGCATGGGCTACCACCACTGGGTATTCTTAGACATTCTTAAGTCATGTAATCAACACAAAGTAGGAAGAATTGTAGGGCTGGTGCACAGAATATCTCTTCATTTTTTTTATTATATTTATTTGTGTGTGTGTGTGTGTGTGTGTGTGTGTGTGTGTGTGTGTGTGTGTGCATGCTAGAGAGATGCACCAGCAGTTGAGAACACTGGCTGCTCTTCCAGAGGTCCCGGGTTCAATTCCCAGAATACTCATGATGGCTCACAACCAACTGTAACTCCAGTTCAGAAGATCCAAAACCTCTTCAGGCCTCTGTAGGCACAAGGCATGATTGTGGCCCACAGACATACATGCAGGCAAAACATCCACACACTACAAACTATTTTTAAAGAATTTAGTTATAAAAAAATGACAGTGACAATTCTATTGTATATATCCAGAGAAACTCTCTTGTCCCTCTTTGTCTCCAGCTGCTGAGGGATGGTATCATTGGATAGTGTGGCCATCCTCACTCAGACTGGAATAGGGATCCTGGGAACTCTTCCCTTGGGTGTCCCTCATGTGTCATTGTAGGTGGGCTTTGAGGTCTCAGATACTCGAGCCAGGCCAGTGACTCATACATGGTCTCTTCCTGTTGCCTAGGGATCTGAATATAGAACTCTCAGTTCCTTCTCCAGCACCATGTCTGCCTGCATGCTGCTGTGTTTCCTGCCATGATGATCATGGACTGTATCTCTGAAACTGTGAGCCAGCCCCAATTAAATGTTTTATAACAGTTGCCATGGTCATGATGTCTCTTCACAGCAATAGAAACTCAACTAAGACACATGGATTGAGGTCATGGGAGCAAATTACCAACCATCTTGTGTTGGTCTCTGGCCAAGAGTCAGTACTGTCTTCCAGGGGTGGGAATCAGAGCCTCATATGGGGATCTTTTAGAATCAGTCAAGCTACCTGATGCCTGGAGATCTGGTCAATGTCTTTGACCAAATTAACCCAGATAAGTTACTCTTGAATACTTGACCCATTTAAAATGTGTGAGATGTCAACTGATTGGAGCAATGGGATTTTTCCATTTTAATTCTAGGAATTTGCTGTTTCATATGATGGTCGCCAGGTGGCAATAGGAGTCCAGGGATAAAAGCAAAGAGAAGGTGGTTCATTGCCCTCAGTTGTTCACAACCCCATCTGCATGCATTACGAATATCATCAAGGGAAACAAAAGGAAGGGGGGAGGAGGGAGAGAGGAGGAAGAGGAGGAGATGGTAAAGGTCCCCCCAACTCCAGCAAGAGAGAAGAAAGGTGGGGGTAGGGGATGATCAAGGTTTTTTGTTTTTTTGTTTTTTCCCAGAACTAGGCAACTTTGCTCTGAAGTTCATTTTAAGTTCAATAGGCAAATCATGGGGGAAAATGAAGAAAATTAAAAGCAGCAAACAAGGTAGCTCTGCCAGAGATAAAAGCAATAGAAATGGGGCGGTGAGATGGCTCAGCAGGAAAAGGGGCTTGCAGCCAAGCCCGACAGCTAAGCTCCATCCCTGGCACCCGCGTGGGGGAGCGGAAAGCACAATCCAGGAAGTTGTCCCCTGATCTCCACATATGGATGAGGTACATGGATACACACACAGGGACACAGAGAGAGAGAGAGACAGACAGACAGACAGACAGACCTGCTTCTAAAAAGGAGCCAGACATAGTGGGGCTCACCCACCTGTAATCTCAGCACTCAGAGATACAAAGCAAAAAAAAAAAAAAGCAGGATTTTGAGGCTGGCCTAGGCTAAGCAGACTCCCCAAAAACTTCAAATAATAACAACAGTAATAACAAATTCAAAGTAAAAATAAAGCGAAACATGAAAAGAATCTATTAAAAGTGGGCATAATACATGAGAACTCACACACAAAGATATGTAAACATTCTGTATAAGTACCTACTTATGCATAATGAAAGAAGCACAATTTAGCTGGGTATGGAAATGCCTGCAATCCCAGCATCCCAGAGCTGGGAAGATGGAGGCAGGAGACACAGGAGTTCAGGGCCAGCCTGACCTACAGAGTGAGACTTGTCTCAAAAAGAAAAAGGAAAAGAAAATAAAGGGAAAGAAAAGAAAAGAAAAGAAAAAAGAAAAGAAAGGAAAAGGAAAGAAAAGAAAAAGGTGGGGCTGGGGAGATGGCTCAGCATTTAAGAGTGCGCATGCTCTTACAGAGGACCTCAGTTGGGTTTCTAGCACTCATATTGCATGGCTCACAACTACCTGTAACTTCACATCTTGGAAATCTAGTGTTATCTTCTAGAATCTGTAAGCACCTGCATTCGTGTGCAAAGACCCACACACATAAACACACATACACATAATTAAGAAATAAAAATAACTATTTCCTAAGCCGGGCGTGGTGGCACATGCCTTTAATTCCAGCACTCGGGAGGAAGAGGCAGGTGGATCTCTGTGAGTTTGAAGCCAGCCTGGTCTACAGAGGGAGATCCAGGAAAGCCAGGGCTGCTACACAGAGAAACCCTGTCTCGAAAAAGAGACAGATAGATAGATAGATAGATAGATAGATAGATAGATAGATAGATAGATAGATAGATAGATAGATGATAGATAATTTCCTAAAGGAGGGAGGCAGGTGTGGTGGTGTGGTGTATACCTTTAATCCTAGGCAGATCTCTGTGTGTTCAAGGTCAGTCTACTCTACAGAAAGAGCTTTGGGCCAGCCAGGGCTATATAGTGAGACCCTGTCTCAAAAGAAAAAAAGGAGGGCTGGAGAGATGGCTCAGTGGTTAAGAGCACTGACTGCTCTTCCAGAGGACCCAGGTTCAATTCCCAGCACCCACATGGCGGCTCACAATAGGATCTGATACCCTCTTCTGTCATGCATGCATATATGCAAATAGAGCACTCATATACATAAATAAATCTTAAATTAAAAAAAAAAGGAGAGAGAAGGAAGGAGAGAAGGTAAAGATTTTCCTGACACCCCACTTGTCTTGTCACCTGAGCCCAGCAAAACCCCTGATGTTGGATGACGCTGCGGGCAAAGCCATGGGGAAGGGACTCTGCATCCGTCCCAACTCCCTGCTGCCACAGTGAGAGAAACCACACACCTTAAGGGGGTGCCAACCAGCCTGATTTACTCATGACATGTTGTGCATAAGTATCAAAATGTCACACTGTGGTTGGGGAGTAACTCAGTGGTAGAGCCCCTGCCTAGAATCCCCCAGAGAGGGGCTGGGGTGTGGCTCAGTGGTAGAGCCCCTGCCTAGAATCCCCCAGTGAGGGGCTGGGGGTGTGACTCAGTGGTAGAGCCCCTGCCTAGA